TGGTCTTCTTCACGACAAAGGCCGTTAAAGCAGTTTCACTAGTGAAACTCTCAAAGCACTACAGTGCACCTTTACTTAGAGACTAGTTTGTCAATCACTCCTCTGAGCAAAAATAGGGGCTATGGAAAAATAGGGATTAAGAAAACCTGTTACATTAAAGCTAATTTTAATAGAATGGTTTAAGTTCAATCTCACACTTTAAGTGAACAAAATCTTGAAATCAGAGATTGGTTCACAATGGCCTTATACAAAACCTAACTTATGAAATCAGAACTTGGCACTGACTTGGTAGTACATAGACTACCACTCCTGAAAAATGCACAGAGAGGTTCCAAATGGGAAACAGTATGGGAGGGTGGACTTGGGTATTTCCACAGCTTACACTTGTCCTCTTTTCCTTGAGGGAGGGTATGCAAGCTAAATTGTTTTGGTAACTCCTCCAAGAACTGTCTGTAGGTTCCGCTGGCTGAACTCTGATAGCATCTGTGAGCATTGCCTTGCAGAACCTGTTTCCTTAGCTAAACCTTGTGGATAGATGACAGGCTTTGTCTCTCCTCCTTCATCCTGTTGACTGAGTCTCTACCATCCCTAAGAGCTTGCTGAGATCCCACCACGATGAAGGGGTAGGTCCATATGATGCTATATTTTTTCACAGATAATGTCAAATAATGCAGGGCTTACCAAGGAAAAGCAAACTAAGAATGCACCTGTTTGCAGATAGGATGTTGGATGTATGATCTTTCATAACCTTCCTGTATTCCATGGACAGAAACTGACCAGTTTTCTGTCTATTGTAATATTGGCAGGAATGTTGTCAGGGACAGTAGAGATCTGTTTTCTAGGAAGGGCACCAGCTGAACGTAAGGTCCATTAGAACATTTTTCTCATAAGAAGACTTCATGGCGATGTAGTAGAAAGAGTCAGAGTTATGGTCACAAGACTGGGATCCAGATCTCACTTCTATCATAGATAAACCTATGACTATTGGCAAATCACAGATTCGATATCTCTAAAATAAAGATAGCAGCACCAGAATCACTGCAAAGGTATAAGTCAGTGGGATTGAATGGAAAAAGGAGGTAAATTGGCTTGCAGACTGTGAAGTAACTTGACAGTGAGCATTATTCATGGAACAAGCCTTTGTTGAGAGGCACATCAATTGTATTAAGGCTTATAGTCATGTGCCAGACATATACTTCAATGTTACATACCTTTTCAATCTACCAGTTGTGAAGTTTCTAAGAGAAAGCCTTTACAAAATTCATTTTATGTAATGATACTTTCTTTTCTCATTGTTAAGATTTTAAAAAATAAGGTATTCTAAAAGATCTGTTTGTGATGATATATTGTGTACCCCAAGATACTGTGTACCCTAATAATCTTATCTGGGGATCAGAGGACAGAGCCAGTCACTAAATTAGACATAGAGGCAAGACAATGGTGGCACATAACCTTAATCCTATCACTCGGGAGGCAGAGATCCCTCTGGATCTCTGTGAGTCCAAGGCCACACTGGAAACAGAGTCAGGAGTGGTGGCACACACCTTTAATCCCAGCACTTAAGATCTCATGCCTTTGCTATCAAGTATTTGGGAAGCACACACACATTTAATCCCAGCACTAGGAAGGAAGGAAGATGGCAGGGCACAAAAAGGTATATAAGGCATGAGTAAACAGGAAGTTTCACTTTGGAGGCTGAGGAGTTGGTAGTGTGAGGCTGGCTGTTGCTTGTTCTGTTTCTCTGATCTTTCAGATTTCACCCCAATATCTGACTCTGGGTTTTCTATTAATAAGACTGTTTAGCAATTCGTGTTACATCTGTTTTTATTTTCAATTGTGTGCCTATGTCGCAGGATGTGAGGGTGGTATGTGCATGTGGGCTCAGGTGTCTTTGGAGGCCAGAAGAAAGTGTCAGCTCTCCTGGAGCTGGTGATTTATGAGCTGCCTGACCTGGGTGCTGGGAACCAAACTCCGGTTCTCAGCAAGAGCAGTACATGCTCTTCACTGCTAAGCCATCTCTCAACCCACGTAAGCTAGGATTTAAAAAAAAAATAAATCAAGGAGCATGGAGATTTTTCAACACTTGCTCCTTGAGTTTATTAATAAAGAGAGAACTGTGCCAAAGGTGCATGCTTCAGTTAGAAATAATGAGAGAAAATTGTTCACAAGGTCTACTTGGTTAAGTGCAATTAAGCTAGCCTGTAATTTTTGTATTAGACTGCTGGTAGTTGGAAACCAAGTATTTGGAGCTACTCATTAAGTAAATTACCCAGGTCAAGGAGTTTTCCATGATTGTAAACATAAGGAGGGAAAGATGTCTGTGAAGCCTTTGGTCTTCTAAAATATAGGCTGTACAAGTTGGTTGTCTTTGACCCTGTCTGCAAGTCTTGCAGGAGCTGTTCCTCAGGCTGTTCTAATTCTGGGAGGGACTACTGCAGGGTTTTTAGTCAGGACAATGCTATTGCTCATGCCTCTTCTGAGTGGGTGACTACTAGATAGCATGAAAGTCCTTGAATATCAGTTCTTCACATCTAGAGAGTCTGAGCTGGGCAAGGACGGTGTGGGGCCAGATGCAGGACAGAAGTGATGAGCAAAGCCAGAGAAGCTTCATGAGCTCGCAAATGACTAAACATTGTCTGGGGACTTAATTCAAATATACACTCTGATCCAGGAGGAACTACAGTGTGCTCTGCAATGTGACATCAATGCTGTCAACCTTCATATCACACTGTGTGGTGAGGGCATTCAACAGTAAAGAAAATGCCAGCCCATTCAATTAAAACAAACAAACAAACAAACAAACAAACAGCAAAAACAAGACAAGTATTGGTCTCAGGTAAGGTTTGTTCTTATTGTTTGTCCAGTCCAAGTCAGCATTGTCAAATTGACACAGCCTAGACCTGCCTGGGGAAAAAGCAGTCTTCAATGAATGATTGTCGTTATTGGGTTGGTCTGTGAGGGATTGTCTTGACTGCTAACTAAGCAATGGGCCCAGCCCAAAGGGAGCTTTACCATTCCCTAGGCAAGTGGTACTGGGCTATGTAAGGAAACTAGCTGAGAAAGAGCTTGAACATGAGCCTGAGTAAGCTGGAGAGTGGGCCGGTTAACTCCTGCCCTGAGTTAATTCAATGATGGATGGTGACCACAGAGTGTAAGCCAAAGCCAAATAATGCCCACTCAGTTGCTTTTGTTCCCACTGTTTTATCACAGCAACGGAATGGACAGGAGAACACTTCCCAGGAGGCGAGACTATACTGCCTCCCTTTGCATTCTCTTCTTATTGTTAGTTAGTGTTGGTGTCACCTTGAGGCTGGCTGTGCTTGGTGTGAAGACAGCCACCTGCAACTCCTGGGTCTTATTTCATACTTCCTTAATATTCCTGCTTCAAACAGAAAAAATTCTTCCAGTATTACATGGAAAATTCTTAGGATTTTTTCTGACTAATGTGGATGAAAATTAGAGACTGGCTTAACAACAAAGGATCCAAAAAAAGTAGGTGAAGTTCCCACAACCATCAGGGAAAGTGGATGCTAGAATAGAGACTCAAGGATGCTCAGGAAGGAAGATATCAATCAAATCTACTTTCTGAAATATGATGTACATATCTTTTCTGTTGTAAATTTCTTTGTCAATAAAGCAAGGTAATGTCAATGTTTATGAAAACATTGGTCATAACTGGGTGCAGGCAGGTCTCACATGTACTAAACATATTATGAACGTGGGTGCTAGACTCTGAAAATTCTAAGAAAACATTTTAGCTGATTTATTGTCAATAGTTTCAGATTACTTTCCAAATAAAATCATTTTATTGAAATTGAGTGTGGTCCAGAGAACACCTGAACTTTTTTTATATATAAAAAATAAGGGTAGTCCTGTAGACTTGACCTTCACAGTTGGTGTTAAAGTGTAACTCTATAGGATTACCTCAACTCACTGCTCTGTGGTTTATAAGGAAAAGGAAAGAAGGGTGTGGTTGATGAGCCACAGACTCTTAAATGATGAGTTGAGCACTCAAAGTATAATTAATGTATAGGTTGGCAGCAGCATCTTCACTTAGGGGATTGTCAGCAATGCAGAATTGGGACTACACTGACATCCATCTGCAGGTGGATAGCAGTTACAATAAGTAAAAATTGTCAATGGAATTTAGAGATGGATCCAGTTCTCAAGGAGTTAAGATTTTTAGGTACATAGAAAAGGTAAAAGAATAAGCTATAAACTAAATATAAAAATCTCTTGGCTATTGTTACCTTAAATGTCTAAAACACAAAAGGGTAGAGAGAGCATACAAAAGAATGTTGGGGAAATGTCGATTCCATACCAAGGTTAAGATCTTTCTTATTTGATCTAAAACCATAGGGCTACTTCCTACCAAATGAAAGTATTGGGACATTAGATGGAACCTGTAGGACCAATTGTCCGTGGGAAGATCCCATGTTGGGAAGGGCAAAGTAAAAATCTTGAAGAACCAGTGATGTACCATGAAGAAATCACTCATTTTCTTCATTGGTATCACCAGTCTCTTGAAGAGTCTTTACTAAAATTGCTTGTGAGTGACCAGCTTAAGAGATGAAGGTTTGGTTTTGGTTTTGGTTTTGAATGATGCAGAATGAAAGAGCTTGTGTGTGTTCATGTAAGACTCAACTGACGGCTGAACTTTTGAAGGCAAGTATGCATGATCCAGATACACAGTAGAGAATAGCTTTCCTATGGACTGAATAAAAGCCACTGAAATATTAGCTTTCTCCGAGAAGGGGGACTGTCCCCTTTATATGTCAAATAGAACACTTTAGGAAAAGCTGTTGTGCTGTATACAAACCCTGTTGATTCATTTATCATGAGTAGAATGTTCACTCACTGACTATGTGCCTTTTCAATCTGTGGTAAATTCTGTGGCTCAGGGGCTCCTCTGGCATTGGTGTTCTATCTAACATTACAACCCAGTATCAATCACCAGTCTGAGAGTATTGATCAGATTTGTGTTTCATCTTATCTTACAGGTTTTCCAGATACTGAAAACTTGGGTTGATTCATGAGAAAATGGGAAAGGGCAAAGGAAACTGAATATCCACATGAAAACCGTCCCAGATTCTAGGAAACTGAATACCTCACCCAAGGCTCAGGAAGCACCATGGAAAAGGGGTGGAAGAGCTTGTAAGAGGATCAGAGAGTTTGCTCTGAGATTGTGTCTTCTAGTAATATGGAAGCTACACCATAAAGTCTCAGCAATATGAGATTCTGTCTTCTAATAACATCGGAAGCTGCACCATAAAGTCTCAGCAATATGAAATTGTGTCTTCTAATAACATCGGAAGCTGCACCATAAAGTATCACCAACATGAGATTGTGTCTTCTAGTAATATGGAAACTACACCATACAGTCTCAGCAATATGAGATTGTGTCTCCTAATCACATCGGAAGCTGCACCATAAAGTCTCAGCAATATGACTGCCTGCATGTGAGCTGAACAAGGATGACACCAACGAACACCCCAAACTGGGTGGACAGAAGCCCTACGCAAAGAACTAGAGGCATGTGAGGAAAGCTGGTAAATGACATGTGGCCTTTCTCAGGGAAGAGCATCCCCACTGATTGCCCAGTGCCAAACTGTCAGCCCTGAAAACATACATATAGGTAGATTGCACAGATGGAACAGCTTATATTTGGGAGTATATGTGTATATATGTATGCTTCTTAATTGCAGGCAATAACAGTAAAAAAATTAGAAGTCATGAATTGGAAGAAGAGTGGGAAGTTATATATGGAAGGGTTTGGAGGGAGAAAAGGGAAGGGGAAATGTAATCAAATTAAAATCTTAGAAATAAAAAATTCTGAGAGACAGAGAGAGAGAGAGAGAGAGAGAGAGAGAGAGAGAGAGAGAGAGAGAGGAGAATCAGAATGAATAGAACAGGTATTAACTGATTGAAACAATGACCTTCAAGCAGCACAGCTGAAGGTCAGAGGGGCCCCTGGGAGTTCTTACTGCTTCTCCAATATTAAAAGGCCCCAAACATGTCTGTTCTCCCTGCCATGTCCTGGCTACCCTTAATTGTCAACTTTATATAGCCTAGGGTCATCCGAGAGGCCTACATCAGTTTGGTCTGTAGATAGGTCTGTGAGGGGTTTCTTGATTGTTAATGCAGGCAGGCCCAACTCACTTGGAGCCACACCACTTCTTAGACAGTTAGTCCTAGGCTGCATCCAAAACCTCCCCAACTGTGAGTCCAACAGAAAGCCGGCATGCAGTGCTCCTCTGTGTGTTCTGCTTCAGGTTCCTGCCCCGACTTCCCTCCTGGATGAATTGTGACCTGGAAACATAAGCCAAATAAACCCTTTCTCCCACAAGTTATTTTTGTCAGAGTTCCAACAGAAAAGCAACTAATACCCCCCACTTTTAAGGAATCAGCAAAGCTGGACACAAAGATGACAATCAGAATTCTCTGAGTGGTGGTCCTCCACAATAACCAAGATGAACATTTATGGGAGAAAGTAGGATCTTCTTGGTGAATCCCTAGCTGAGGAACCAAGGTCATAATCATACTGTGTGTAAAATGACCCCACACTTGGGAGGTTATCAGTATGTGGATCGTGCTTCTGAGTCTGTTGATGAAGTTCTCCTGGGTCATCACTTATACCGGGGAGATAGAGGCATGCAGTGTCCATGGATGGATGAGAAAAATCTAGAATAAGTTGGAATGTCTGAATAGACTTTGTGTGATGTGATTATGTGCTTTTCCTAAACATTCCTTGAAGTAGAAATCATGGGTAAAAATAAATGGCAAATGGAGAGAAGGTGAAATGGCAGTGGGGTTATAAATAAACAAATGATTTATTGTAATGAGGGAAATCTAGTTTTGTACCACACAGCAGCACGTTGGCCGAGGATGGAGTACCTGTACTGTGGTCATCCATACAACAGACCTAAAATATTCCTACCACCTTAATAGTGCTACAGCCATGGTGAGTTCCTGCCGCAACAAGAGTCCTTATATGAATGGGATGATGCTGGTGGAAGTGAACTTTGTGCTTTACCACTCAAATAAAAGTACAGAATGTCCATTAAGGTATGGGATGTAATATTTGATGAGGTTAAGAAGCAATCTATCTTGTTTATGCATTTATAGTACTGTACTTTACATGGTTATTTTAAAGTGTACTTTTTTTCAACATGTTAAAAAGTTTACTGTCAAACAATATTCTGTTTGTGCTAGCAACAGTTTAATATATCTGTTTATCATGTCTTGCACCAGTTTATTTTGTGTTTAATTTAATCTCATATTGTGTTATCTTATATGTACATATATAATGTATATGTGGCACACTGTCTATACATTAAAAGTATATGTATACCATTAGAGGTATGTGTGTACCCAGAAGGTGCAGGTTTAAGTGTGTCTTTACCACCTTATCTTCAACAACTTGACAAAGCTGAATATAAGCTGCAAAGCTGAGTATTTCTGCTCTGGGAAATGCTGGTCATACCATAAGATGATGAACAGAACGAATGGTAAATGAGTGGGCAGAACTCTACTCATGCGCAAGCATCTTTGAATTCTCATTTTTCAGATTGCATGTACGACACAGGTCATCTTTTGGGAAGGAGTTTCTGGGAACTCTTCCCAATTCTGCTGCAGACCATGTGGTGTAGAAGCCCTAGCTGATGGATCACTGTGTACATAAAAATCTGGATGATCGGATCTTTAGAAGGATTGCCTACTCTAATGGATAAAAGATAGCGGTGGTGTTCCTGATGCACCACAGCTCATTATGCATAAACACATACCATTCTTGTTTTGTGAATATTAAGTCCATCCAATAGAGTAGGAAAGGACAATGGGTTCTTGATGCTGTCAGGGCCATGGGTACCAGAAGACACTCCATTGGGAACAGCCCTTTACTTCGATGAGGAAGGCTATGGGGGGCCTTCGGCATGCCCACATCACATTTTGTTTAGCTGTGACCACCACTTCAACCTGTGTGTGATGGATCCAGCATTTCTGATGTGAAAAATGTATCCTGACTGTATCCAGGCTGTTGTACAATGACAATGTACATGATGGGGAAATGCCTTTGACTTACAAAATAGAAAAGGGGCTTAACAGAGAGAGTTTCTGGCCTATGTCTCCTGAGCAAGCTAAGTTTATTTTCATGAGCAGTGGCACTGGGAGGAAAACCACTTTAGAAGGAGAAGAGTGGAGGGAGCATTCTTATATACAGAAAGCAAAAGATGGGAGACAGGTGATGGGTGTTTTGGGAAATGGGTCAGGCACACTCACTCAGCCAACACTGCTGGGCAATACTGTATGGTCTGGATGATCTGCAATAGTGAGTTTATTAAGGACACAGCAAGCCAAAATAATAGAAGAAGTAGAAAGTGTCAAAAATATAGCAAAATTTATCAAATCTGGCAGGAAACATCCAGCAGAAATGGACCAGGGAAGCCCCTTTGAGACAGCCTGCTGGAGTTCCCAGACAGAATGGAGTTCCCTATGGTGAGGCTTCTAAGCAAACAGATGGCAGTAGACAGAGATAACATCAAAGTGGGCTCTCACAACATCTAGCACAAACCAACTGGGGAAATTGAGGCAGCCAGCTAGAGTTCCTGTGGAGCTTTTTCTCCATCAGTGGGCTTCCCATGACTGAACTTGGAGCCTTTCCTTTCCATGGAAGACACTTTTATGTCATGGGATGAACAAAAGAATGGGGATGACTTACCTTCCAACTGTCCTCAGGGACACAATATAGTTGCCTCTCGGGCTGTTTCATTGTTCACTCCTCTCCCTGTCACAGAGTTAAGGGGGGGGGCATTCCCAGAAAAGGGGCTTTGGTGAACACCTTGAGACAAACATGCTTGGGTCTGAAGTGGGGCCTAGGAAGGGACAGGAAGCCTGCTTCTAGGGTCAGCTTGTCAATGAGCTCACACATCTCATGGCAATTATGAGTATAATGTACATTATGATTTAGTATTGGGGAAAGGTTGGCTCCTAACCCAACATGTCCTCTTGAAGGTTTTAACAGAAGGAACTGAGTAGCCACGGGAGAGTTTTGGGACCCAGAATGCACACCCATGAGAATCTTAAGGCTTTTCAGCCTATGGAGATCCTGTAGGAAAACTTGTGCTTTATGTCAATGTACCAAAACTTCCCTTGCTACAAGAATAGGTCAAAATAAGATATTCTGCAATACAGTTTCCTACTGGACATAGGAAACATTCTTAACTGTACCCATGTCCTCTGTACAGGAGGAAGGGAGGTCCAGCTGTTTGATAGCGTACTGTCGAAAATGGTCTTAGTAAAAGCTTATGAAATGAGGTGGAGAGATTGGCTTTGCCCCCACTGGACTGCTTACTTGGATTCTAGAATCAACTATGGTCAACTGTAATGCCAACTGTCCATAGTAAACATACCAGATGGGCAAGGGTCAATTGTGTTTTGAAGGACAGCATACATTTCTGTAGTTTTATGGATTTGTTCTGTAATGGAACAGAGTTATTCCATGGCCATAATATGCTATAACATGCTGATCCCGTTCCAATATTTAAGTAGGTCTTATGACAATATTGGTATTAATAATCAGAAGTATGAGAAACGGACTTGAAGTCTCCTTAGACTAAACATGTGATGGAGGTTGTCAGACCACAGGATGGAGACTTTGAGTCACTTGGATTCTGCTTTTCCTCTGGAAGGAATGGAGACCAAAGGTCAGCCATGTGCGCAGTAAACCATGTCCCCACGATAAAACCTCAGGACACCAGGACTCAAAGGGACCTCCAGACTGGCAGTACCCTATGCTACTGTCTGATGTCACTGTCAAGAAAGTTAACATTGTTTACCAGTCTGTAAAGAGGAGACTTGGCAGCCCTGTTTCTGGAAACCCAGAGCACCCTACTTTATCCTATAATAAACCAGTCATGACTGTAGCAGCTTTCAGGGAGTTCTAGTGAATTAGTAGAACTGAGAATGACCTTGGGAAACCTTGAAGTCTACAGTTGGTTTGAGAAGTGAGAGGGGGGTCTGGTGGTCCTTACCCGCAATCCCTCAGGTTCATTTTTTGATTGCATTTGGACCATTCTTTTTTCTCCCTAAACCACACTAAACATCCTTTTGATTGTTCCTCAGATGCCATTCTAACTGTATCATATTCACAGTAAAACACCCTCAAGATCTTAATACAGATATATGCATGAAATAAAAAGTGACTTTAAGTGTACAGTAACCAATTTGCTTCACATTAATAATTCAGCTATTTTTATTTGTTTCTAAACAAAAAGCAAAGAAGATCCATTCCACAGAGCAATATGCAGTTTTTATTAAGCCCCAAGAAAATCTCTTAAGGTTTTTGGATTATGAAAGTCACCCAAATTCACGTCTTTTTTTTTTCCTACCAAATTTCTCCTTAAAAATTTTTTTTTCACTAAACTCAAGCTCGACGCAGACAGGAGATATTTCTTGCCCCTGTGGAGCAGAAGCAGGTGACATCATTTGATACCCTTCAACACTATTTCCATCAGCTACTTTTTCTGTGGCTGTCACATGAACCTGATAAGAGTAGCTTGTGGGAAGGAGGATCTTTTTAACTCACACTGTCATGGGGTAAAGGTATGGTGGAGGTCACACTTACAGGAGCAGGTCCTAGAGGATCATGAGGCTGCTTGTTCACATCTTGGTAGACTGGGGCGTGGGAAGCCCAGGGCTGGAAGTATTGCTGGACTATACCTCTCAAGCCCTGCCCTCTAAGTGAGCCACTTCACCTAGATAGGTCCCACCTCCTCTTGAAGGTCCCACAAAAAACAATGCTATCAGCTGGGTCCCTGAGCTGGAACAAGGCAGTAGGAGGAGCTCTCATCCAAACCGTTACTACTAGTGTGTGTGTGTGTGTGTGTGTGTGTGTGTGTGTGTGTGTGTGTGTACATGCTCACACGTGTGTTTGCAGGTATGAAGGTGGGTATGCATGCCAGTGCTAGGGAATGTTTTCATTAGAGGATGGTCTGAGGTGTTGGCCCCTGCCTCCCACCTTGCTCACTGAAGTGTAAGCCAGACTACCTGGCTTGTGAGCCCCTCATCTCATTTGGAAGTCCTAGGATTACAGATGCACTACTGTGTCCATTCTGGGGTTCTGCACTAGGTCTTCCTGGGTGTGTTGCAAACATTTTACCCACTGAGCCTTTCTGCCACCCCATAATGTAACACTTTTTCCCCCCATAGGAAACCACATACACTCCTAACTGCAGTACTATTTATTCCAGTCCATCTGTTTAGAGTAAGTACCATCAAGTGACAAGCAAAGAAGATGGCAAGGGCACTGCTCTAATGATTGGCAGAGACTCCACACATCACTCATTTCAAAGTCTTCATTCTGGAGAACAGTGACAATCAGTGATTCGTTGGGCACCAACAAATATTCTTGGTCCTCATTTTGCAACTACCCCCTAAAATCAAACTATAATAAAAATTAAACCCAGACAGAAACAGGGCAATCATAAAGTGATGATTCAGAATCATGGAGAAAACCACAAAGGGATCAGGTCCTGATGAAATAGTTGCCCAGGCATCATTTCTGTCTTTGCATTTTCCTGCCTTTCCTGCTAGATCGAGCTGTGGACAGTGAGCTCACAGGCTGGTGGGATATCTGGCTTTTGCAGTAAGTTGCAGGCATTGGGCTATAGTTTTGTCTCCTCCTAAGTCTCTTAACCTCACTAGTTCAGGAAACTCCGGTTCTACAACTGTCTAAACAGAGAAAGAAGACAAAACCTCCTGGTGGCCAGCAAAGTGAGGAAAAATACAGGGGCACACACACATACCCTTATAGAGAGAATTCATGAAATTATCTTAAATTCCCAAGGTTATCACATATGATTTAATGAGGTGTAAACGTCTGACAGACAAATTTGAACATTTACATGTCAAAAGGCAATGTTTGCAAGCACAGTGATCCCCATTTTAGTCCAATTTTATGTGTGATTACATGAAAATAATTTAAAGATTAATTGTATGATAAAATATTTTCAAAATGTAAAATACAGTATTGATTTTGATGCTTCTGATCACAGAGCAAATAAAGTTTTATATACACTTTTTCAAAACACTCCCCCAACTGAGTATGGTGGCACATGATCTCAGCACCTGGGACAGAGAGGCAGGTGGATCTTTGTGAGTTTGAGGCCAGCCTGGATTACAGAGTGAGTTTCAGGACAACCAAGGCTGTGTAGAAAGATCCTGTCTCAAAAATAAGAAAAACAGAAACAATCCCCTCAGGAAAACCCTCCCCCAAATGAAATTTAGTCTGACCTCTTTTTTGTGTCTGATGGGTTTCCTTGGAAGTCCGTTTGTAAACAGTCATGACACGACGCAGTTGCTATGACTTAGGTATTGTCTCAGGCAAGCATTCACTGCAGAGGGGGCTGTGACAGTTCAGATCCTCACCCCCCCCCCCTGTTTTTTTAATCATGGCTGTGTTGCTCAGACTTTGTTTGCGTGTCTGTTGATGTTCCAGTGGCACAAATACATTCATCTTGGCACCTTCTCTATTTGCTCTCTAAGAACGAACTTATCCAAAATACCAATTGCAGAGCTTCCTAGATGCTCGGTGGTTAGGAGCATACATGGTCTTGTAGAAGATCCCAGTTTGGTACCCAGCACCTATGTCAGGCAGTTTACCTGCATCTACCTGTAACTCAAGTTCAGAGTCTCTGCAGGTATCTACTCAAGCACACATAACCCCACCCAGACAAGCACAGATGATTAAACATAAAATCTTTTAATGAATATCAATGCCAATGAGATTCTGAAATCTCACAATTGTACTGGAATATAAGTAAGTTAGTTGTTGCAATGAGCTAAACTTTACATGAATTTTTTTGTGTTCAAAAACCTTTTTTAAGGTTTATTTTATGCGTTTGAATGTCTTGTCAGCATGTGGGTTTGTGAACCACTTGTGAGCCTGTTGCTCAAGAAGAGGGTGTCAGAATCTCTGGAAGTAGAGTTATAGATGGTTGGGAGCCACCATGTGGGTACTGAGAACCGAACCCAGGGCCCCAGACAGCAAGCACACTAACCTACTAAGCCATCTGTCTAGCTCCAGGCCTTTTGTGTTTATGATAATCATCACAATGGAGACAACACTTGGGGCATGGTGGCATGCACTCACTTGTACAGCTAGCACCTGGGAGGCGGAGGGCACCTCCAGAACTATGGCAATCCCGGCGTCAGGGCATCTAAATCCTTCCTCTAGTCTCTTCAGGCATCCTTCCTATTGCACACAAACTCACCCCATTCACATGTAATTAAAAACAAAGCAAAGACAAATATCAGCCATGACAATAAAAGAAGAAGACAGAGCACTCAAGGGTTCCAAAGCTTGTTACATAGCTTTAGGATGTCTTGGGCCCATCTTGAAAATGTTTGTTTACAGATGCACACATGTACACTTTGGTCTAACAACATTTGCTCTCGTAGTTCTAACCATGAGGAAACTGAGATAATTCACTAAGATTGAAAGTGTGGTGTATGAAAATATTTTGCACTGAATATGTCCCTTTTTTTGATTTTTGTTTTTTGTTTTTTGAGACAGGGTTTCTCTGTGTAGTTTTGGTGCCTGTCCTGGATCTCACTCTGTAGCCCAGGCTGGCCTCGAACTCACAGAGATCCGCCTGCCTCTGCCTCCTGAGTGCTGGGATTAATGTGAGCACCACCACCGCCTGGCATGTGTCCCATTTTCTTCACTTTCTCTTTCCTCATCCTCAGAGACTATGTAACACACACAGAGTCTTATTGATATATGTTCCTCTTAAAGTTTTGTTGATGTGGTCTTTTTATTAGCAGCTTAATTTGTTTATTGAAAGACAGCTTCTCATAATATAGACCCGGCTAGCCTCAAAGTTGGGGCGATCCTTCACCTTGACAGTGCTTAAGTCCCTGACTTACTGTGTTGTGGATTTTGTCACAGTGACCCTAGAAGTGTATATGGTCATCATTTGGGTAGAAGGACATAGTACATGCCTCATTGTACAGCAAAGGCACAGAGCCCCTGTGGGTCTGAAAGACGGTGAGAAACTCGGAAAATCATCTAAAGGGAGTTTGCATCCTTCCAGATGTTCTGTGTCATTTTTGACCTTTGACTTCTCAAAAGAGCCCCAATAGTGACGTGTGCTTTGTCTGTCCTGAACCTTGGGTCCCAGAGATTTTCTTTGAAAATAAAACACATAAGGGCATTTTGTGCACCTGAGCGTTGCATTACAAACCCACATTGGTTGCACGTGCTTTTGTTGTTTATAAAGTTTACAAAAACGGGTCCAGCAGTGCATGCCCATCCTACCAGTGTTTGGGGAGCAGAGGCAGGAGGGTTGTGAGTTTGACCGGCATGTGTTGCATAGCAAGATGCTGTCTCAACATCTGTCCTCCAATAAAAAGCAAAAATAAAATGAAATAAAAGAAAATCCCAAACAGGAGGGGACAGAGAACAAAAGGAGAGAAGATGGATGTAACTATTGTATGTTGTACACGTGTGGAAATATCACAGTAAGTTCTAATCACTGGTATAAATAATATGCATCAGTCATTTTAAAGTTAAAAACGAAATAAAATAAACCAGAAAATGGAGAAAAGTATTGAAAACTTGCCTGTAAACCTATCTCATTTGGAAAGAACCACTTTTGTTTAGCATTTTCTGTGGTCATACTATGTATATGTAATAAACATGTATTCGTATGCATGAGAATATAGTCTAATCTCCATCCTATTTCCTGTTCTTAATATTTTCACTGTTTTTAGTGTTTTCCTGTGTGATGAACATAGTTCTTCACAAAAATCATTTGAAAGGTGCACGACCTTTGATGAGAACCCCTTAGCTGGTGTCTTTTGTCTAGGGGAGACTACTTGCTTCCAGCCTTTTGCTCTGTTAAACACTGTAATGATCACCCTCACATAAAGTTGGGTTCCCATCTCCTTCCTGAAGTTTGTTCAGGAGATGTCCTGGCTCTTGTTTCTAGTCCAGTATTTCATTTCATCTTCATGAAGTTCTGTTTTCTGAGGCCCACTCCAAATCCAAAAATACAAGAGCCATTTGCTCTTCGCTACATTTTCTATCCACCAATTATCCCCTCAGGCCCTCGCTTGGAGACTGTTGCGAAATGTCTCTGCAACTAGTTAGCAAGAATAGAAAAACTCCCATTCAGTTATTTAAATCAGTTCCCTTAGAAGCAGCCAACAGATTCTCCAAAAATTCATCCAAAATGAAGGTTGTGTCGGCAATTCAGTTTTGATGTTATTTTCGCATCTGGTCATACCTCCCTCTTGTACAAGGCCTCAAAATTGTATAGAGTCCGATACTAGGACCCTGGGAAGGCAGTAGAGGGCACTTAGGGATCAGTTCACTGGTCATGGCTTTTCACTTTTCTGGAGGGTGTGTAGTTTGCTTATTCAGAGCCCTCATATATCCAAAGTGTCACGGGTTTCCTCCCCATAACCAGCATGTACACACCTACCCCAAAATGCTACCCCTGTCTTCCATCTTATGTGCTCAATTTATGGTTCCCCAGCAGTATAAATTTTATTACCAAGGGAACATGATCTCAGTGGATCGTGGCCTAGAAGTCTGCCTGCTCCTCTGTGGCTGCCTTACTGACTGGTGTTTAAGGAGGAAGCTCTAGTTCATCCTTGTCGTTCAGCCTGCCTCTGTGGCAGCCACACTCTCCAGACTGACTGAAACAGGGCTTTTTCCTCCTGGCTGGTGAAAAATAACAAGGCCTTTTGGTGTGAGGGGTCTGGGTGAGGGTGATTCTTTTTGAAGCTTTCACAGAGCCAGCAAGAATTTCACGCCATTTTGAGAGCTTTGGGTAAAGAATTTAACAGCTGGTGGGGGTGTAAATTAGAGCCAATTATAATTTGATTGACCTGCCTTGACAATAAAACTGTCTTCCCTAATTTAAAATGCCTAGCAGGAACCTCTCTGCCCCTGTAAGGTGGTGATTTCAAAGGAAGAACTAGGCAATTCTTTAACAATGCTGACAGTAATAAAGATTTATTTATATAGTGCTTTTTTCCTGTTGGGCTTAAATAACCACGCTCAAAGTGAGGAACAGTAGTGTGCACAGGAATGAAAATGTCAGGGCTTCACAGAAACGTGTCTCTAGAATGGTGGTCGCAGGTGTAGAAAATACAGGAATGTTCTGGGAAGTTCTGAAGAAAGGGAAAAGTATCTGAGTTCCAACCTGGAGCGCGAGTTGTCGTAATATTTTCTCATAGTTTAATTATTTTTTGTTACAATACAGAAGGAAGGGTTTTATTTAGGCAGATCACACATGTGTATCACGGTACCTTGCTTATACCCTGTGCTCCCTTCTGTCCTCCCCAGCACCCTTATTAGTCCAATTGTATTATTATTTAAAGTAAATATAGAACTTTAAAAGCTGTTATTTGAAACGGGTTTAAAGTGGCATGAGAAGAGAACACATTTTATTCTTGCTCCTGACCTTGGAAGCTAGTGTATCCTCTTGCCCCATATAAACAGTATGGAGAAGGTGTACAACTCTGGGTCTGCCCATTTCCTACTTCTTATTCAAAGCAGCTCAGCTTAATGAAATTCATCAGGAAGGGAGCTGTGGGTCTCTGCTTCCCATTTCATCTTGAATAAAACCTCAGGGCCACTTACATTGGCCTTAATTCTGGTGAAGGTGAACTGTTGGTCTTGCAAGGTGATGCTTGGAGTTGTAGCCAAGAAGGGACTGAACAGATCGACTCTCTCAATTCAGCTCTGCCAGTTAGATGGTCCTGATCTTGGGCACATGGTCCTCTCCGAGTCTCGGGCTCAGTATCTGAGCAATGGAAACAGTGACAACCTAATGGGGTGTTGTGGTATTTACTGACTCCAGGAACAAAGGAGCTTGATCAGAGTTGGCTTAGACTCCGAGTCCTGGATTGTCTCTGAGACAATGGCCCTATTTCTCTTTCTTTCAAGGTCCCCTTCCCCTCATCTCTGGGGTTAACTGACTTTCCTTCCCTTTTGTCTCCAACAGAACCTTCTGTGATGACCTAGGCTGAGACGTGGAGCAGAAAGGGTGGAGGAGGAATGCTGTGTCCATCTCCCTTAAATGGCACCATGTCCTCCATTATCACAGAGTTCGTTTACAGACATTAATGATGCATAAGTTTCAGTAACTTTGATCATGGTAGGTTGCTAAAATGGATCTGTTTTGTTATTATTTGGTGCTGTTAATCTCTTACTGTGCCTAATTTATAAGTTAAATTCCGTCATTGGTATGTACTTAAGGGGGAAAACCTATGGCCTCTCTGTGGTTTCAGGCAGCTACTGAGGGTCTTGTTGTGTGTCCTGGTAGATAAAGGGGTGCTGTACTTGGGCTAGGCTTCAGAAGTCACTGGCAATGATTTTCCTCTTGATCTGTTCTATAACCCTAATATTGTTTGGACATATTTTATGTTAAAGACACCTTTAAAAATCATATGGTTTATATAAAAGTAAGCAAAAAAAATTAAGATGATAGCTGTGGCAAAGTCTATGAATTTTATTTCGTAAACAAGACATGAAAACTCCAGGATTTGTACACAATGTACAGGCTTGGATAGAACCAGAGTCTCACAGCCTTATATATCACGACAAGTTCCAACACGGAAACAGTAGTCCTGAGTCCTGGACAATCAATTTACTACTCAGTGCTACAAAATGGTATAGAGCATGGATCTGAGCCTTGTGTTAATAGCTACAAATCATTAGATATCATCTATTTAAGGAGCAGGAGAAATTGTATGGATTTTTATGACAATGGCATTGCTCCTCTGCTGAAATCAATTCTGAATGAGGGTCAGGGTTTCGGAAAGTCCAGCCTTCATATATAATGAGAACATCCCTACTATTATTAATGTGATTTCTTTTACTGCTTAAAAAGTGACAGCTGATGAATATCTGACTGTTTGCATCATTGTACACAACCTTGAAACTGAAATTCCTTGTGGCCAGCACATCTTCTTTTTAAGAAACTTATTTATGGGAACAGTAAACAGTGAACAAGGACCCCTGTAACCAAGCTCTGGAGTTCGGCCAACCCTCAAGCGATGGAATGATGATTTCTGCAACCAGGCTTGACTGGGTTGGACTTGCGCAGCTGATGGAGGGGGCAGGGTGTGCAGGCAGCTGCTGCCTGGTGGACTGAAACAGGGCATCCACAAGGTGGGCAGCCAGATGCCGTAATGACCCACTGAAGAATAACCACATGCAATACAACAGAGCTGTGAAGTGTGGGGAAATAATGACAGCAGATGGACAAAAACCTGGCCCACAGCAAGCAGGGAGAGGGAACTCATTTATAGCACAAAGCCCTACATGAATTGAGAAGAGACAGTGTTTCGGGCCCATCCCAGGCCTGCAGAGAGCAGCAGGCCCTGTAAGCAACCTGCATCCTTTCCCTGTATTTACTGACTTCTTGCTCTGCATAACCATCTTGGGTAGATGCTGCTCTGCACAGGATGAAGCCAGGCTTGACCTCCAGGAGCTGAGAGTCTGGTGGATATTCCCTGGATTTCTGCTTGGGACCAGTCGGGAATTATGCTGCAGTTCCCGACATCACTGGCATTGATGATTCTTTAAAAATTGGCTTTTCTTTCCCCAGCCTTTGGATGGCATAACTTGAAAACTATAGGGAATGGAGCTTCAGAAGAGCAGGAAGCTGCGGGCCAGATTTGATGAGCTGTGTGTCCTGCAACTTGCCCCAGGATTTCTCAGAGCTGTCTGCAAAGTGGGGCCACTTTCCCTAGTTCGTAGCTGCAAGTACAAGGCCATCTCTCCAAAAATGCAGTGCACGAGGGATGGCTAGTCCTTCCCTGAGTTCTTTTTCAATTAATTAATTTATTTAACAACCTGACTGCAATCTTTTCTCCTTCCTGTCCCCTACCTCCCCACTGCCTCCTCCTGTCCACTTCTCTGTTTCTGTATAGGAAAGGACAGGCCTTCCACAAGCATCAACAAAGCATGGCATATCAAGTCGCAGTAAGACTAGGCTCTTTCCCCTGTATTAAAGCTGAGTAAGGCAACCCAGCATGAGAAACAGGTTACAAAGCATTGGAGACAGCCCCTGCTCCCACTGTTGGGGGTCCCACAGGCAGACCAAGCTATCCAATTCTCACACATAAGTAGGGGGCCTAGGCTGTTGGTTCAGACTCTGTGAGTTCCTATGAGCCCAGGTTAGTTGTTCTGTGGGTTTTCTTGTGATGTCTTCGACCCCTCTGGCTCATACAATTCTTCCTCTCTCTTCAGCAGGATTCCCCGAGCTCACCCTAATGTTTGGCTGTGGGTCTCTGCATCTGTTTCCATCAGTTACTGGATGAAGGCTCTCAGATGACAATTGGGGTAGTCCCAATCTAGTCACAAAAGATGGTCAGTTCTGGCTGCATATCCTCCATTGGCCAGAGTCTTAGCATGGTCATCCTTGTAGATTCCTGAGAGTTTCTCTTGCATCATGTTTCTATTTGATCCCCAAATGCCCCCCACCCCTTTCTAGTCATCTCTTTCAGTACTTCCCCCCCCATCCACCTCCAACCAGATCTCTCATATTTACATCCCCACCTACCCCGAGTCCACCCACGAGATCTCTTCTATTTCCCCTTCCCAGGGAG